GGGCTGCTTTTAGGAAGTAACTGATGTGAACCAAAGCTAATGCTACACCCACAGTCGTTGCTTTAAAATTCATTCGGTCTGAAGGAAGCATACGGTATATCTCATTCCTTTACTCACACAACCGGGCAATCTGGAAATGAAATTCTCTAGGACTCTCTCCAGGTTACGTTTATATGCTTGAACCACAACATTACCTCTAGATCGATGTTACTTTCCGTCATCTAGATGGAATGCTACTCTTCAATCGATAGGATTTCGGGACACGGGAGCTTGTTGTACATAGAATGCTTCTATACTCTTTCCGGTGTGAAGGGTGCATTTATATAGTTAGAATTTTCTCTGCACACTTGAATTGCCTTGGGTTTCTTCAACGTTTTCGTTTGAACAGACCTATGAGCTCTAATCAGACACATCCACATAAAAAGCTTTTTTTCGGATTGCATGGCTCAAAGACCGACTGCAATAGGCACCCTTGAAAAAAAACGTGTACTAGATGGTGCAACAAACAAGTGAGATTCATGATTCCTTTTGTTCATGGTTCCTGGTCCACTCTGGGAACAATCTCCCTGGATTTCTATATCTAAATTGCAAACTCCGTAGAACCGAAGATCTTATCTGCAGGCTGCTTTTTCTAGAGGGGAGGCTAGAATTATCGGATTAAGTGCAGCATTGTCGGCGTTCGCATTCAAACTATCCTGTCCATTTCAAACGCACTGCGCTGAAGACAACCATCTTTGTTGCACTCAGTTAGTCATCGCTTGTTTGTGGTACAAATCCATCATCGTGAACATGTGTACAAAACATTACGTCCTCATTACCCGAAACAAGACACTAATGAAAGCGCAGCCTTCAGTTTTGATGTATTGTTGCCACCTTGCGTTTTCTCTCCTAATTAGTCTGCAGATCACCTTGTTTTACAGTAAGCCACCTAAGTTGGGTCATATAGGTGTTGCAGTGTTTCTGTACAAACACGTGCTGAAAACGTAGAACGGCTATTAAATGCTCACTTTGTAAGCACAGTCAACCTTAGATAATAAGCTACCATAGGGACTGAGGGAAGTTGACGGGTCATGTGGAACTGGACAGGAGACCATGAATGCTGTGAATTCTTCCGCAATACGTTTTTCCACCAAGTTGGTCCATGTACAATGTATCTGTACGTGAACTGCGGCGCAAAGCCATGAAACGGGGAATGATACCCCTAGTTAGTCGACCATTCTATGCGTGATAATCTCAATGTTTTTGGCGAATATCGCATTGGATATATTTGAACAGCCGGTCTAACAGCCGTGGTCTAACAAAGAATTACTTCTGACAGAACGACCACACCACTCAGCTTTACTGAATGAGATTGAGGCTATTTTCATAAAGCAAGCTAATCACAAGGTTACTGAAAACTCTTCGACAACCAACGACTTGTTTCGGTCGTCTTGTTGCTCATCATCAAGTAGGCGCAGTCCCCGAGTTTCCGTCAGACTCAATTGGGTCTCTCGTTTAGAAAACCGGTCATGGACTGCGGAGAGCTTTCAGCAATCTTGTGAGTAGCTCCCTCCATTAAAATAAACTGTGATATCTAGCAACCGAAACATGAGGCGGTCTTTATAGAGTATATTTAGTTGAGGAACATCATAAACCAGAAATTCAGCAGAGTCTTCCGGGGAAACCAAACTGATGTGTAAATGAGTGCTTGTTGAGATTGAGGCTAGTTTGTTACGAACCCGATAAATGTCCGTTCCAAATTTTAAGTGCTGCATTTCTTGGAGTTCAAACACGGTTCATGCGCCATCATCACACGACACGTCGAGTCTTATTCACAACACACGTGTTTCGTCTAAGCCTGGTTGGCAGTTTGCGTAAATGTGAATCGTTGTCTAATTTTGAGTTCGAACTTGATGCATATAAACCTGCATACTGCATTAAACCTCAGTGAATCAGAAGGCGTCCACTTGGGTCAGTGTTTTCGAACCCACTCGCAAAGAAATGCTCAGTTATGAGGAGATTCTGTTTCAAAGTATGAAAAAAATACAGGACTAAGTCGTTGAATGTAACTGACTTGTCTGTTTTCCGACGACTTATGAGCCTACCTTAGCGGTTTGTCAACAAACCAATTTATTGAGCCAACCGGATCATCAGGATAAGCAGGTCTGAGCGGCTTGAAGCTCACCTAAAGCCAAAACGGTCTATTCTTTGTTAATCGTGCTACTCTACAATCTAGACAGAGCTCGGGGCTCAGTAGCACTTTTCTGTAATCGAGTCTCTTGCAACCTCCTTTTTTTCAACTGATTTTGCTGGTGATACATGTTCAGTCCTACCAACCCTCTCTATCTGCATCCGCATGGTTAACGGAAGTGATGATGATGAATGACCCGTCAGTCTGATGGCATCTTTGGTGTCACATTTCAGTTAATCAATTCTGAGGAATATTTTTCAGACGTGCCACGCAGGTGATCTGATTCACCTTAAAAAGATACAATTGGCTTCTGAGCTGACTGGCTTTTTAGTCCTTGAGGTAGCTGGTCGTGCATTCAAATCATTGTGAGTATCGTATAACTGAAACTCCAAAGGATATCGACATGTTAGATATGCAGTCACATCCTACTTTTCTCTAGCGCACAGTTCTTCGTTTTTCTTACTGTCGTTTCACCGTTTTTATCAGCAGCGCTGGAATCTGTTAGCTGTCAGCTGAGAAGGGACGTGAACTTAGACCCAGTCCCCGCTGGTGCTGACTGATGGTCTGATGTTGCCATGGCGCCGACTGTCTTGCTTTTATCGTAGACACAGTCACCTTGTTTCAACTAAGTGCTGTCGTTGCTTCTTCTGACCCGCATTTTGCCACACCCGACTGCTGCTGACAGCCATCCTGATATCCAATGCACTTCACAGCATTTCTGATGTTACCAGGACTGAACTTTTAGTAACTAAGGTGCTGGAAGCCGGTGTTTTATGGCTCTAGTGTCGGGACAGAGAGCTGGCGCTTTTGTCCGAATTGAATCGGGTGCTTATGAGACCAGACATGTGGAGAATATTCATGTCTATGAATGCACCACAACAACCCACACTCCTCCGCAGTCGATGATTCCTGGTTGTCGTTCCCTGTCCGCTGTCCGGAAAAGTTGGTTCCAGCCATAAACAACAGTACTGTGTAGACGCGATCTCCTTTTCGAATTTACGAGCCTTTCGTGAACTTGTTTTAGACAACAAACAGAGTGAAATATCATCTCAAATAACGCAACAGTACGAAAGTAGTGAACCGTGAAGCATTCCATCTTTTTAAAATATTCCTAGGGGACGGTACGGAATAAATCTTACTTAGATTGAACAAGTTTTATCATCCTCGCTTGAACTAGCCCGACATTTCCTCTATCACAGCTCCTCGTGTCTGATAGAGAAAAGAGGGGAAATGGCTTACTTATATCGTTAACTTCATCGCCTTTTGTCTTTTGCACAACGTTTAAGGTGAGGGCGATGGTGAAGAAAGAAGAATGGGCGAAAATTAAGTGAAACTGAATTTCCATGGCTAGTTGTAGAAATCGAGGTGCTTATTCAGGGTGAAAAGTCAAAGTTTTTCATCCGAGTAATGATCGATTCTTGTGGAGGACATGGTAATGGACAAGCCATGGGATTGGATTTTGACTGGGCCATTTATTGAATACATCGAAACATCCGGCCGAAACCCACCACCGCAGCTTGGTCAATAACCGGTCCTCCGCAATCGTCGATTAATTTTCAAGTGGAAAAGTATGGCTAGTCAACAGCAATCAACTGTCTGAATGAAACAATGAATGGTCAGAACCAAACGATTCTCACCTAGCTGTAATTAATTAGCTACTCAGACCAGGTGCGCGTTCCTGTGGAAATTAGCCTGAAACGGCTACCAGTTTCTCGATACACATTTGAAGATTCCTAGTTAGGACTGGGACGCTAGTGTGGCTCGTCTATCCAAAAGCTGGCAGTATCTTCACTAGGACTTTTGAAGTTTTACCAAGTTGTCTGCTTGTTATTTTAATTTACCTTACAGTCTGTGAACCGAGGTAGAGAGTTTGCAACATTCTGCACGATACGAGCGGGTTTTATGACTCCACTGATGATATAATCGCTATGCCATTTTTGCGGTTATCCTTCCAATTTTGGTAGCAAGCATTTTTTGTCTGAAATCACAAGATAGCTTCGTCTCTATTTTTTTCCGCGTTGCTGTCCCTGCTTTATCCATCCTAATGTAAACGACCAAACTAAGCGCAATATACGCATTCTTTCTGATAACGCATTGTGTCGACGGATCTTTTATGCACTTCAACCCATAACAGTTGGTTGCAGGTGTCATAACTTGGTTTGGACCTTATGAGTTGGCCAGTAATGATTTGTTCTATATCCTGACTCCCCTACTTTACGCATAGATTGCAGTGTTTTATGTAAGAACACTTTTAGGCTTTCCAATACAGCCATTTTTGTATCTTATCGATATACACTTTTTCGGAAATTTCAGGCTATTCAACCATAAGACTACAGATAGGAGATTTATTGACTCATGACTTCTTTGCAACGTAGGTTGCCGAACAAAGACCGAATAGATCCCTTTCCGGTTTTCTGTAGTCCTCCTTGTATGACGTGACCGCTCCACACATTAACAACATTAACATTAACAAAAACACAATGTCAACTCGATTACTGCCCAAACAGAGATGTAATGAATCACCTGAGTGCGGCACAAATTGCCATCTGCTTGGGTATAATGACCTCGTTGGCAGTGAAATTGAACTGACAAGACAATCATAACTAGATTCGCTACCGATTGTCTAGTTTAGATCAGTGCTGTACGCATAACAGAGGTCAACACCTAAACTCAACCTGACAAGCAACATTCCAGTGAACCCTGCGATCAAGCGATCATGAAAGGATATGCTTCTTAGGGACAAGATTTTACTTAGGATTAAATGGCAAAGCAGCAAACGACGGTATAGTTTTTCCAATTTCAGGAGACGGACCGTCAGAATTATCGAGATATGTCGACTTCAGATTGTCCAAAGTGTGTCCGACGTGAGAAGATGCATTCTCGGCGAAACCACCGAAAGTCGCTGCGACGGTCGGGTGATTTTCCCTCTCCTTCAGATGGATTCCGATCGGGATTTCAAAGTACAGTCCCCGTTCCAAGACAGCCGGACGGAACGCAACCAGCTTTACGTTTCCAATTTGCCAGACTGCTCCGGAGCAGTCCCCCAAGCTTACCCCCTTCTCTGGATGAACTCGAAGTGGGATTCGAAAGTGCATTCTCCCGAGACTACGCTCACTTTACTAGCCTCAATACGGGAAAGGTATTACAGGAATAATGACTGTACATAGTTCATTCATTTTTCGAAACTTTTCTGTTTGAATTTTCGAGGAAGCTGCTTCTCACAGTTGCATCAGTTACTGAGTGATCGATGCACTTAAGTTTCATCTGCCTTAGTCAAACCGCTACATTTCGATAATTTGGACATGTCTCGTGATCTGCGACAGTGTGGAGAACAACGTCCATCGTTTGACTCATCCCCACACGAATCTCTCCAGTTAGTTTTGCCTTCGGTCCGTTAGGCTATTGGAATGACTCACAGTCCCCAACACTCCTAATTCCTCTTGCAGAGGAAAAGAATGTGTGGGCAACTCCCATAGCATGTGGGAAAGTCACGTTCCCAAATGGCATATTAACCTAAATGCCATAGGCTGATTGTTACATGCTGCTCACTCTGTGTCACTCCAGGCTCCTATTTCCACGAATCCACTTACAGACAAACGAGATAGCTACTCTTAAACTAACAATTCGTAAAGTAGTTGTTTTGTTACCAACGCTGTTGACACTTTGATTTTTACTCTGCATTCGACATTCAGCGTCCAGTTAATGAAAGACAGCTGAAAAATATTACAATACAAAAGGTTCACTTTAGCCTTAGTTGCATCTGTCTCCTAAACAGAATGATGTTGCAACTGTACACTTTTTTTAAGTCATCGAGGTTTAGTTGGATCGGGGTTTATGAAGCATGACTGAACACATACTTTGTAGAAAAACTTCAAAATTTCGACTAATCGTCCTGATTTGAAGTATTTTTCCGTATTTTCACGAATCTTCTGTTGTATAAATATATTATCCTTTTTTCAGGTGAAAGTAATCGTGTGCGTTCGTCACCCGGAAAGCACCGTCGAATGCAGACCCTTGTCAACGCTTCCCAATGTAGACAGACAGCATCATGCACCCAGTCAGTATTTGGACGCACTGTTATCCCTCAACTGCAACATATCTAGCGGTTGTGTTACGACTGACCACCGCAGAAATCAGTTAACACTCATTGATCCCACTCCACCAATTCGCAGACGAGTCAGTGTAACAAATCCCAAGCTGTTCACATTTGACGCTGTCCTTGCAACACAGGATCAACAGCTGGTAAATTTCTCTGACAGTGTATACTCCGTGGTGTCTCTTAGCGAGGTGTGAAATAGATGTGTGCAAGTTTAGCACTGTGTTTTATGATCTATTTAATTCCCCTTTGAAACGTTTGTTACACTTCACCAACAAACTTTGTGATACCGTCCCATTCCAATAAAAACACACGTTTTGTGGTTTTCTCAAGAAATTCGGGGTCAGAAACAGTTTGTTTATTGGATGATTTTGTTTTCATCAAAGCATTTCACTCGATTGCAAACCGTTTGACGGCTATACCCTGGCTATTATAGATCGGCCGATTTGCATTGATACTGGAATGGAAATACCATTCTTTGTAGGTGACTACAAACGGAACAGATTTTTTTGTTTTTTTCTTCTAGTTGGAATTGAGTAGGGTCGCACTGACCAGTGTGATTCAACAGCTGCTGCGCGGACAAGATGGATGTATTTTAACGATTGGACATAAGCATACAGGCAAGTCTAATCACATTAACCTTGAAACTCTTCTTTCCTTTTATCACAACTCTGGTTTATTCGTGCGGCATCCTTTTTTCTGTTTACTTGTGTATGCGCTGCACGACCCTCTACACACACGTTCGGATACGTGCATACTCCCCGATATATATATATATATATATATAT